CTCACTTTTCCCCTTCTGGCACCCCCATGATGTGAATGTTGGTATGCCTGAAGTTGTCCCAGAGGCTCCTTACACTATCCTAATTTTTTTTTTTTTATCCTCACCCGAGGACATTTTTCCATTTTTTGTTCAGGTAGAGTGGGAGGGAGAGAGAGGAACAGAGAGAGAGAGAAACATCGATGTGAAAGGAACACATCGAGTGGCTGCCACCCGCACAACCCAACCAGGGCCGGGGACAAACTGCAACCGAGGTATGTGCCCTTAGCGGGAACCAAACCCGGGTCTCTCAGGACCGCAGGCCGACGCTCTAACCGCTGAGCCAAACCGGCCAGGGCCTAATTTTTTTTTTTTATTATTCCTTTTTCTTTTTGCTGTGCTAGGTGGATATTTTTTGTTTCCTGATATTTCAAATCAATGGTTTGCATCTCAGCTTCACCCACTCTACTATTGATTCTCTGTGAATTATTCTTTATTTCAGTGAATGCATTTTTCACTTCTGACTGTGTATTCTTAATTTGTGACTAGTCCTTTATTATGCTCTTGAGATCCTCATTAAGTTCCTTGAGCATCCTTATAACCAGTGTTTTGAACTCTGCATCTGTTAAATTGCTTATCTCCATTTTGTTTAGTTCTTTTCCTGGAGTTTTGTTCTGTTCTTTCATTTGGGACATGTTACTTTGTCTCCTCATGTTGGCTGCCTTCCTGTGTGTGTTTCTTATGTATTAGGTAGACCTGCTATGTCTCCTAGGCTTGGTAGGGTGGCCTATTGTAGTAGGTGTTCTATAGGGTCTGATGGACAGCCTTTCTGATCACCCCAGCTGTGCTTTCAAGGTGCACCCCCTGTGTGGACTGTACACCCTTCTGTTGTAATTGAGTCTTGATTTTTGTTGGCACATCAATGGGAGGGATTTACTCAGGCTGATCAGCTGTAAAAACTGGCTATGACCACTGACCACCAACCTCTGACCACCTTGGAGGATCAGCTGTGCAGCAGCCCACCACACAGAGCAAGACTTACTTCAGCAGTGCTTCAGAACCCACTGAACCCACCCCTTGAGTTGTCACTTGTGGAGGTGATTGGGTAGTGGTGCTTTGATGTGGTCTGAAGCTGTCCACTGAGTGTATTGACTCTTGGACCTCCCAGGAGGCTCAGGCCAAGGTCAGCCATGGCCTGTGTTCTACCCAGGGACACCAGACATAAGCTACAAAGCTATCTGCAGATAGCTGCTCCTTGTGCTAAGCTTGGACGTGCCCAGGCCAAGCTGTGAACCAAGGCTCACTGAGGCCAGATGCTGCTTGTTTGAGAGATTTTAGGACAATCTGAAGCATGAGCCCAGACAGGCCATTCCTATGATAAAGCCTTTGGAAACAGCTTGGGTGGGCCCAAAAGTTGGGAGGAAGGGCCTCAGGGAATCACCAGGGTGGGGCAAACAGTGTGAGCCAGGTTGCTGGAGTCCCAGATATGGTGGTTGTCTGCTGCCGGGTGGGGGAAGGTCTCACCAAATGAACAGTGGTCTCTGCCAGCATGTCAGTCTGGGAGAAAGCTGCCTCTGTAGCTCTTCCCATAATGCCAAACAGTTCAGTTCTTCCCTATATGTCTCTGGTGCCTTTCAAGGTGCCTACCCTGGCTGGAGCCCAGAGGAAGCAAGTCTAAGAAAGTCCATGATTGGGCCCTTTAAGAAGAACTGCCTGACTCTAGAAGCCTCAGCCTCCCTCAGCCTCAATTCCTGCTGGTTTTACAGCCATAAGTTATGGGGACTTCTCTTCCTGGCACTGGACCCCTGAGCTGGGGTTCCTGGTATGGGACTGGGACCCCTTACTCCTCAGGGAGGACCTTCACAGCCAAGGTAACCTCTTGATTTTTATCTTCCACTTGTGGGTGTGGGACCAGCCTGTCTGTGCCTCTGCCCCACCTACCAGTCTTGATATGGCTTATTCTTTAATTTCGTAGTTGTAGGACTTCCATTCAGCTCGAATTCAGGTGGTTCTGAATGATGGTTGTTTTATAGTTTAGCTGTAATTTTGATGTGGTTGTGAGAGGAGGTGATATCGCCTTTACCTATGCCACCATCTTGACCGGAAGTCTTGAGCTGCTTTTCTTTTTATCACCAGCTTCCTATTCCTACTTTGAATCTTTGTTCTTGATATTTAGAGCCCCGGCAGAGAGAGCCCATTTGGCCAAACTTAGGTCACTCTTCCACTATCTTGGCTGTCTTGGGTCTATGAAAGAGTGTCAGGTATAAGGTTGGGTGACAGCTAGCTAGGATACATTGTGAGACATATTGAGTTTTGTTTTTTTTTTATCCTCACCTGAGGATATTTAAAAAAAATTTTTTTTTTCTTTATTGATTTTAGAGAGAGGAGAAGGGAGAGAGAGAGAAACATAGCAACATCGATGAGAGAGAACATCGATTGGCCCCTCCTGCTTGCCCCCTACTGGGGATTTAGCCCACAACCTGGGCATGTGCCCTGACAAGGAATCTCCCACCCCCTTTTGTGGTATGTGCCCTTAGTGGGAACTGAACCTGGGACTCTCTGGTCCGCAGGCCAACGCTCAACCGCTGAGCCAAACTGGCCAGGGCGCCCTGACCAGGAATCTAACCAGTGACCTCTTGGTGCATGGGTCGACGCTCAACCACTGAGCCACACTGGCTGGGCCTGAGGATATTTTATTATTTATCTTCAGATAGAGTGTGAGGGAGAGAGAGGGAGAGAAAGGGAAAGAGAAACATCGACATGAGAGGGACACATCGACTGGCTACCTCCCACATGGACCTTGACCAGGGCCAGGGATGAACCACAACTGAAGTATGAACCACAACTCATTGGTCCATGGGCCGATGCTCTAGCCACTGAGCAAAACTGGCCATATTGGGTTCTTAAAATAGAGAAACACTTCCCAAATGGTTAGTAAATAGGTGATGCCCCTCTTCCAGGCCTCAGGGGTCACTTATAACCCAATTATTAAAGGATGAAGGCCTGGCCCATTCTAATTGGCTGATATACCTGCCTGCTCTATTGTTCAATATTCTGAATATAACCTTTAGGTGAAAGACAATAGCATTATTCAGGGTAGCATTCATTCTCCCACTAACACTGATCCTGAGATGGGAAAAGTAATTCTGGATGGTCAAATAAGAATATACATGTTCAAGACAATGTTCATTAAGTGTTTGATAATGAATAGACATGGACAAAAGGATAAAAGTATTCAATAGGAAGAAAAAAATAAGCAGACTATTGCCCAGCTGGTGTGGTTCAGTGGATTGAGAGTTGTCCCATGGACTGAGAGGTCCCAGTTCAATTTCTGGTCAGGGCACATGCCCGGGTTTTGGGCTTGATCCCCGGTGGAGGGCGTGCAGGAGGCAGCTGACTGACGTTTCTCACATCAATGTTACTATCTCTGACTCCCTTTCTCTCTCTCTAAAAAAATCAATAAAAGCATATTTTAAAAAAAAGCAGACTATAGGTTACATCACCCATCATCCATAGGGGAATTTAATCTCTTCACTCCAGAGGACAGGTTGTTTAAAACAAATTCTTCTTCCTCTTTTTTTTGTACATGTCCCTAGCAGGAACAGGACCCGGGACTCTCTGGTCTGCAGGCTGACGCTCCAACCATTGAGACAAACTGGCCAGAGCTCTTCTTCCTCTTAATTCTTTTTGGGTAGTTCCCCAGTGATGCCCTTACCTGCACTAAGTGCAGGCATGTGAGCCAGTTCAGGTGTCAGGTTCAGCAACTGAAGTTGAAGCTGGAGCATCAGGCTCCTTTGTGAGGTGGTCTCAGTGACAGGGGTGCTATGAGGCATGGGTTACCCCACCCCAATCTGGCTGGGATAGCCATACCAGTCCTGCCTTCCAACTCCCTAACACCACCTGCCTAACCTAAGCTTTTTCATGTTGCTGCCACTGCTGGGCACCTGCGCCGTGGTGGGGCCATTCCAGGGCCCTGAGTGGGAGCCAGTGAGGGGCCTGCTCTCCAAGGATCACAGCTGCAGGGACCCTCGGTGCTGTGGCAACCTGCTTGTTCTCTGCCTCTTTCTGATCTGGCAGGTCCGGCGCTATTGGCACCAGATCACCAGGATACACCCCAGCAAGGTGAGGGGCCCCAAACACCTCCTTCCCTTAGCACCATGATTGTTTCGGTCACTTGTTATGATGACCCTATTCTATGGCCTATGTACAGAAATGACTCATACTGGGGAATTCAGACTGGTCAGGGAGAACATCATCCTGCCCCAAACCCAGCAGTCACCCTGGACTCCTCTCTTTTCACCCCACATATTCAATCCATCTGCAAGTCTTATGGGCTCTACTTGCATAGCATATCTCAAATCTGAGCACCTCTCAGAACCTCATCACACCTACCTGGGCAAAATTCCCATGTGTCTTCTGGACCATAGGCACTGCCTTCCGCCTGGTTTCCCCCTCTCTCACCCAGTCACCGTCAGGGCTCCATGAAGCCAACAGAATAGAATGACCTTCTTCTTTCTTTTTTCTTTTTCTTTTATTTTATTTTAACCCAAGGATAATATACATACACAGAATGTAAGTGTATAGGTCAATTAATTTTCACAAACCGAACACACCCATGTGCAGCAACCAGGTTAAGAAATGGACCATTACCAGCAGCCCAGAAGTTTGCAGTCACAGGTATGCTGATTTTTTTTTTTTCTTTATTGATTTTAGAGAGAGAGGAAGGGAGAAGGAGAGAGAGATAGAAACATTGATTGGCCGCCTCCTGCATGCCTTCCACTGGGGATCGGGCCCACAACCTGGGCATGTGCCCTGACCGGAAATTGAACCGGTGACCTCTTGGTGCATGGGTTGATGCTCAACCACTGAGCCACACCGGTTGGGTGTGGAGTAAATGTTTTATCTTTCTTAAATGAATGACTACTGTTTGCCCTCAGGGAAATGGTATCTCTGTTCCTGAGCCCCAGAATCCTCATCTGGATAATGGGGATTACAATTCTGATCTGTGAGGATTAGATGAGACAATGTGTGCAAGGATTTTGTTTCTCTGTTCTTACTTACAGATGCCACCACAGAAGTGGGCAATGCCCTCCATGAGACATGATACTTGTTTTGGACTGACCCCTAAATTATTCTTCAGTCCTGGCACGTTCAGGGGCCTAGATGCTCATGTTCAACAGTGGGCACAAAAGAAGAGATGGGAATCCTGGAGGAACCTCCAGGAATCAGGGGCAAAATACCCGCTCTCTTGGCAGCACTCATGTCAGTGCCCACCTCGGGACTGCCATACCCCTTCTGAGCCTGCCTTTTGCACCACCTCCTTTTCAAGCACCTGTATGTTCCCTCAGGACAGTTCTTGGGATGTACGGCAGGTACCCTGGTGTTTTAGTGATGAGCACACTCACCTGCTTTGCAAGCCACTGCTCCCTGACCTGAACAAATATCATCAAAGGATGGAAAAACCGCTGGTCCACTCCCAGGAAAAGTTGGTGCCATTGGAGCCTGTTGTCAGCATGAGGTCCCATCCCACCTCCATGACTTTAGCCACTGTTCTCCCAAACCCTCCTTTATCTCAGAGGCCACAGTTCTGCTCCAGAGAATTCCTGCCTTTTTTTTCCAACCAACAAGTGGGAATACCCACCTGGAAGTCCTGGGACTGTCCAGAAGAGGCCTGGGCACCAGGGAGGGAAAACCAGGTACTAAGCACAGAGGATATTAGAGAGACCCAGGCTCCAGAGTGGGCAAACCAGAGAGACAGCAGTAAGGAGGATGCTTGGGAGATTGAGACATCTCAAAGGCAACTCCCAATAAACTTTGGGCTGGAGGACAATGCAGAGACTAAGGTTCTGGAGTGGGAAAGCCAGAGACTAGTGATAACTAAAACTGATGGAGAGATCCTGACAGCAGGGTGGGAGAACCAGGACCACTTGGGAGTTGAGAATAAAGCTAAAATTCAGGAACTAGGGAAGAGAAGAAGCCAGAAGGAGGCTAGAGGTGAGAATCCTCCGGAAACCCAGGCACATATAGTAGAGAACCAGGAACAGTTAAGATGTAAAATTGATGCAGAGACCCAAACACCAGAGTGGGGAAGCCAGGATAGGAGTAGAAGTGAGGATGCTATAGAGACTCAGGTATTTGAGAAGAACAAGAAAGCGACCAGAGGGGAGAGCGAAGGAGAGACCCAGTCCCAAGGATTCGGGAAGCACAGCCAGGCCAGAAGTGAGAATGGTGAGGCATGCCAGGAGCCATGGTGGAGAAAACAAGATGAGATTAGAGGTGATGCTGGTACAGAAATTCAGGCAGAAGAGAGGAGAAACCAGACCCAGGTTGGAGGTGAGAATGTTGTACAAACCCAAGTATCTGGAAAGGGGAACCTGGGAGAAGTAAAACAAGAGGATGGTATAGATATCCAGGCCCTGGGGTGGGGAAAACAGGAATGTGTTGATATTGAGACTGCTACAGAAACCCAGACACCAGGGTGGGGGAAGCAGGATCAGGGTAGAAGTGAGAAAGCTAGAGAAGAGTTCCAGAAACAACTAAGACATGAATTTCGAGTGGGATGGGGAAGCCAAGGCCTGAGAAAAGGCAAGGGTGCAGGGGAAACCCACATATCTAGAAGGAAGAACCTCAGGGAGATAAGAGAGGAGGATTGGGTAGTGATCCAGACACCATGGTGGGAAGACCAGAGACCATTAGCAAGTAAAATTGACAGAGAATTTGAGATATTTTGTTGGGGGAATCAGGACCAGATTGGAAGTGAACATAGAGCAGAAATTCAGGCACCAAAGAAGAGATACCAGAGAAAGGACACAGATGAAGATAGTATAAATACCTTGGCACCTGAGGTAGAGAACCAGGGACAAGAAACTCATGTAGACACCCATCCACCAAACAGGAGGAACGAGGAGCAGTTTGGAGATGAAACTAGTACAGACATTCAGGTGCCAGAAATGGAAAACTTGAGAGAGGTTAAAGGTGAAGACGGCAAAGAGACCCAGGAACTTGGGGAAGAAAACCAGGGTCAATTAAACAATGAAATTAATGGAAAGAGTCCCACGCCAAAATGGAAGAATCAGGTACACAGAAGCAAGGATGGTGCAAATACTCAGGCATCTGACACAGAGAACTGGGAAGAATTAACAAGTAAAATTGATGGAGAAACTCATTCAGCAGAATGGAAGAAAGAGGAGCAGGCTGGAGGTGAGAACGGCATGGCAATTCAAGCTCCAGAGAAAAGAAACCAGAGAGAAGCTGGAGGTGAGGATGGTACAGAGACCTGGACACCCGGGGAAGAAAACTGGAGTCAGCTAAGAGGTGATACTGTTAGAAAGACCCATTTATTAGAGTGGAAGAACCAGGAGCAGATGGGAGGTGAGAACGGAACAGAAATTCAGGCACCAGAGAAGAGAAACCAGAGAGAACCTGGAATTGAGGATGGTGTAGAGATTCAGAGACCTGAGAGAGAGAACCTGGGACAGTTAGATAGTGAAATTGGAGAGAACTATTCACCAGGGTGGAGGAACTGGGAGCAGAGTGGAGGAAAGAACGATGAAGAAAATCAGACATTGGAGAAGAGAAACCAGAAAGAGGTTGGAAGTGACGATGGTGAAAAGATCCAGAGACTTAGGGGAGAGAACCAGAGACTGTTAAAAAGTAAAATTAATGGAAAGACCTGTACATCAGAGTGGAAGAACCAGGAGCAGATTGGAGAGGAAAATGGTGCAAAAATACAAGAGAAGAGAAACCTGAGAGGGTCCACAGATGTTGAGGATAGAGAGACCCAGGCTTCTGGGGGAGATTACCAAGAACAGCTAAGAAGTCAACTTGATGGGGAGATCAAGATAAAAGGGCAAGAGTCCCAGAAAGAGGGTGGAGATGAGGATGCTGCAGAAATCTGGGATGTAGGGAGTCAGAGAAAGTGCAGAGCTGAGGATGCTGGAGAAACTGGAGTTCCAAGGGGAGGAATCAAGGACCAGGTCAGAGAATGGGATGCTGCTAAAGGCAATCTCCGAGTTGACTGTTCTGGGGATGAGGGGCCCCCAGTCCTCACTGGCTCTGGGTATGGGGCCATGGAACAGGAACAAGCAGTGGCCTCTGCTACCTGCCCTAAGATGAAGCCTCTCCCCCACGGGGGTGAACTCTTCTTGCTCTCCAGTGGGGAGGGAAAGCATTTGGCCAGCCAGAACACAGCCCCTGCCAGGAAGCACAGAGTGGGGATCAGTCTAGCTTCCCCACAAGCCCCACCTAAAACCCCAAGAAGCCAACAAAGGGACAAAAGAGTGGATCCAGAGAAGGCCTCTGGTCTGGTCTGGCAGCTCCAGAACCCACAGTCTCTGGCTGCTTCCCCGAGCCTACCCTCTTCCTGTTCCTCTGACTCGTGTGGCCAAGCCCCCCAAGCTGCCACAGCTCTGGTGAGTGTTCCTTCTGCTCTCACTGTCCTGCCCAAGTGGCCAGTCCTTAAGAAGAGCCAACAATTGCTCCTGGAGTCCCTCATGCGGCGGAAGATTGCACACTTGAAGTGGGGGATCCCCCAGCGGATCCTGGATTCCCATTTGTTCTTTAACATGTTAGATCCATGCCAACTTCCCTTTGCTGAGATGTGGCTCCAATGGCAGCAGGAAAAGGTTTGTGAAACCCAGGGCTCCAGACCAGGCCTTAAGTCCCCTGGGAAGTCCCAGAGGGTTCAACTTCCAGAAAGAAAAAGCTCAAAACTTTCTACACAAGCCAGAGCTCTGGAGACACGTGGGCCACAGGGATCAGAGCCCAAGAGCATTTTCATCCATCCCCCAAAACCTCGGAGAGTCAGGCCACCAAGGGGCCCCAGAGAAAGACAGGGTGTCCAGGAAGAAGTTCCTCCTAGGGCCAAGCTCCCTGCTCCCAGAAACGCCAGGCCTGCAGTAGAGTCTAGGAACCTGTGTGCCCAAGAAAGGGTCCGAGAGCTTTCCAGTGAGAACAGCAGGGACAGGAAAATGATCAGGCCAGGAGTCTGCCAGATGGCAGAAAGGGCTCCCAGCAGAATGAGAACCTCATACTCCAGGGCAGGCCATGACCACTGGAGGAAGGACAGCACATCCCAGGAGGCCTCTAAGCCCCCCAGACTCAAATGCCAGCAGTCCACACACTGGAGTAGAGGAAGCCTGGAGGGCAGAGGGATTAAGCAGCAGTCTTCCTCCTGTTCCAAAGACACCCCCAGCTTCAAAGGGAGTCTCCACTCAGCCCCAGGGAGTCTGAGCATGACCCTTCTGAACAAGAAATACTGGTCCCTACACCTGGCCAACCTCCAGCACTCAGCCCCCAACCTGAGCCTGAGGGGTTCTGATCTTACCCTGCTTCCTCCCAAAGTGGGTGACCCACATGGAAGGCAGGACAGCACTGGAGTCCACGCTTCTCCAAAGACGGACCTTCATCCACCAGGTCACCGCTGTGCTGGTGTGATTCTTCCCAAGATGGGAAGCCTCCAGGGTCAAGGGGAACCTGAAAACCCAAATGGGGCCTCACGGAATCCACCAGCTTTAAAAAAGTTTGGTTTTATGAAACACATGAGGGGTTTTCTGCTCCGGCATTGCTTTAGAAAATAGGCTGCAGGCCCATTGTCCTCAGAACACATCAGAGAAGGCATGAGAGTGGCCTGTTCGTCCCTAAAGCCTCTAATAAAGTTGGTTACTTGGAACCTGTGGGGTTCTGATTTTGTTGGTACATTTTCTAAGTGCACCCTTTGGGGGTTTGGGATACTTTGAGGGTGGGGTAGAAGTCACTTTTACTCTATGGTTTTGAAGGTTTGGGGGCTGTGGGTCAGCCCAATGTTGTCTCCTAAAAAAGTTCCCCTCCTCAGCTCCTCACAGTAAGGTTTGTATCATGGCTCTGTCCTGCTCTAGTCCAAGCTAATTGCAATTGAGACAAAAATGCTCAAAAAGGGGCGGGAGCGGGGAGGAGGGAGTCAATAGGGGGAAAAGGAGGAACATCTGTAATACATTCAACAATAAAGATAAGTTAAAAAAATTTTTTTAAATGCTCAAACAGTCTGAGCTGGTTGGGGGAAGGGTTTAGTGCTCTGTACTGGAAACTGTTATTCATGTCCTTTTGGTCACAAGGAAGGGAGCTGATGACTGGGCTGATCACTGGGCATCTGCCCGGCTGGGATTCTGCTGCCTATGAACAGACTCCACAGAAAAACCAACCCCACTGCTCCAGTTCTCAACCACTGCCGACCACAATTACTTGTTGCTTTGCCTGGCCCACCTGCTGGATATCCTGGAGCTAATTATTATTATTTTTTTTATTTTATTTTTATTTTTCATTTATCTTCAGATAGAGCGGGAGGGGGAGAGGGGGAAAGAGAGAAACATCAATGTGAGAGAGACACATCAACCGGTTGTCACCCAGACGACCCCATCCAGGGCTGGGGACAAACTGCAACCGAGGTACCTGCCCTTAGCGGGAACCAAACCCGGAACTCTGGTCCCCCAGCCAACGCTCTAACCGCTGAGCCAAACTGGCCAGGGCTAATTATTTTTTTAAATCAAGAGTGAAACTTCTGCCCTGGCCCAATTGGCTGAGCGGTGAGAGGGTCAGGCCTGCCAACCAAAGAGTCCCAGGTTGGATTCTGGCCAAAGGCACATACTTCAGTTGAGGTTCATCCTCGGCCCCAGATGGGGTCCTGCGGGTGGCATCCAGTCGCTGTGTCTCTCTCACATAGGTGTTTCTTTCTCTCTCTCTCTCTCTTCCTCCCACTCTGTTTGAAAATCAATGTAAAAGTATCCTCGGATGAGGATTACAAAAATAAAAATATAAAAGGAAGAAACTCTTACCTTAAACAAAAAAAGTGAAACTTCTGAGTATCTTATGATACTTCACTGTAGATAGCTTCAGCAGATGGAAACAGATTCACAGAGACTATATCAGTGAGTGCTGGAGTTGGGAATTTATACTTTTTTTTTTTCTTTATTGATTTTAGAGAGAGAGGAAGGGAGAAGGATAGAGATAGAAGCATCGATGAGATAGAACATGGATTGGCCGCCTCTTGCATGCACCCTACTGAGGACTGGGCCCACAACCTGGGCACGTTCCCTGACCGGAATCGAACCACTGACCTCTTGGTGCATGGGTCGGTGGGCCAGGCTAGAGTTGGGAATCTAATTCAGGTTTTCTCCTTCTCTCTCTTTTATCTTTGCTCTCTTCTTTCACTTCTCCCTTCTTCCTTTCCTTCCATTTAGCTTTCTGATTTTTTTTTAATCCTCATCTGAGGATATTTTTTCTGTTTCTCTTCAGATAGAGAGGGAGAGAGAAAAACATTAATGTGGGAGAGACACATCCACTGGCGACCAGGGCGGGGGGGATGAACTGCAACCAAGGTATGGGCGCCCTTGACCGGAATCTAACTTGGGACTCATTGGTCCCTGGGCGGACGCTCTAAGCGCTGAGCCAAACCGGCCAGGGCTAATGACAGCTTCTTTATAAGGGCTTTCCAACCTTCGACGCGACGAAGATTGCAGACTCTGGGAGGGAATCTTTGGACTCAGTTGGCACGCTCCAGTCCTTGCGCAGGCGCATTACACTTCCAAGTGCCCTCTTGCGCCGCTCGGGCTCTTTCAAATGCGCTTGCGCCCAAACTGCGCGGGAAAACGTGCTTCCGCGGTGGCGTGCGAGCAGAGCGATGGCTGTGAGGGAGGCCGCCGCAGGCATGTCCCTCCCGGGGATGGACCAGGAGGCGGCGTTGCTCTTCGAGAGGGTCCATTACCGGCACGACCCGCGCTGGATGCTGCCCGTGCCCCCGCGCCTCTGCCTGGCCTGCGTGCTGGAGCTGCTGCCGGAGCCCGGCGTGTCGGTGCGAACTGCCAACCCCCCTTCCCTCACCGGACAGGGCTGCCCCTCGCCAGACTAACTCTCTTGAGCCCGATGCACCTTCCCCGCGACTAAACCGGGCCCACCTGGCTGGTTAATTCTACCCACTCAGCAGGCCCGCTCCCTTGGCGGCCAGAGCGGCCTTCAGCCCAGTTCCCCCCCAGGCCTCCGGCCCCAAACTAGGCTCTGCCCCGGGCTCTGCCTCAAGTGGGCCTGTCCCCGCGCGCCAGCAAGACTCCCAGGCACGCCCTGCCGCTTTCCTTTCTCCTCCTCTCTGCTGCCCGGCCACAGGCCGACCCTTTCTCTGATTCTCCAGGCCTTGGCCTTAGCTCAGGCCCCCGCCTTTCAGTCGCCCTCCGAGCCCGTGGGCCCGATTTCGGAGGGTGGAAATGTGGAGGACCGGGCCGCCCGGGGCTCTGTGGTGGCAGGAACGACAGGTGGAAGCTACAGTGAGGCACAAGTGGGGTGAAGGGGGAAGACTTCTAGGAGAGCTAGGCGAACGTGGCCGCCTGTTACGCGGTGCTCACCCACCTTTGCACTGTGGTCCACAGAGGCATCCAAGGACGGGCTGGGAGGTCACTTTTCTCCCTCATTCCCGGGGGAGGGGAGGTGGCAGGAAATTCATGCCTTGGATGGGGGATTGGGTTGGACCGGTGGTTCTCAATATTTTGATCTCAGGGTGCCTTTACACTTTAAAAAGTGGGGTACAGACTGACAATCCCCAGAAGAGGGGATGGTGGGGGAGAGATAAACCACAGAACTTATATGCATGTGTGCATGAACAGTGGGCATGGACAACAAACTGGGGACAGGGCAGGGAGGGCGGGGGAGGGGGAAATCAGTGGGGGGAAAAGGAGAAACATCTGTAACAAAAATTAATTAATAAAAAATAAATAAATTAGCCCTGGCCAGTTTGGCTCAGCTGTTGGAGTGTCAGCCTGCGGACCAGAGAGTCCCCGGTTCGCTTCCCACTAGGGGCACGTACAAAAAATAAATAAATAAATTAATTAATTAATTAATAAAAAAAAATGTTGAGGAGCCAAAGAGCTTTTGTTTATGTGGGTTATAGCCACTTAATATTACTGTATTAGAAGTCAAAACAAAAATTTTAAATAGTAATTTATTTAAAAATAATAGTAAGTCCATTTCATATTAACATAATTTTTTTTTATTCTGGCAAAAATAAATAACCTAAAATTTACCATTTTAAGTGTACAGTTCATAAGTACTGTAATTTTTTTTTATAATCCTCACCCGAGGATATTTTTCTATTTATCTTTAGATAGAGTGGGAGGGAGAGAGAGGGAGAGAAACACCGACTTAAAAGGGACACATTGACTGGTTGCCTCTAGCACGACCCCAACCAGGGCAAGGGACAAATTGTAACTGAGGTATGTGCCCTTGCCCGGAATCAAACCCATGACTCATTGGTCCATGGGCCAGTGCTCTACTGCTGAGCCAAACCGGCCAGGCAATAAGTACTGTAATTTAAAAAGTAAAAAATATGCCCAGCTGGTATGGCTCAGTGGATTGAGCGTTGTCCCATGGACAGAAAGGTCTGGGTTTGATTCTCCATCAGGGCACATGCCGGGGTTGCAGGCTCCATTCTCAGTAGAGGGTGTGCAGGAGGCCGCCGATCAATATTCCTATCTATCTCCTTTCCTCTTTCTCTGAAAAAAATAAATAAATAACATATTAAAAAATAACTATAGCCCTGGCCAATTTTGCTCAGCGGTTAGAGCATTGGCCTGCAGTCCAGAGAGACCCGGGTTTGGTTCCCACTAAGGGCATGTACCTCAGTTGCAGTTTGTCCCTGGCCCTGGGTGGGTCGTGGTGGTGGCAACCATTTGATGTGTCCCTTTCACATCGATGTTTCTTTCTCTCTCTCGCTCTATCTGAACAAAATATCCAAAAATGTCCTCAGGTGAGGATGAAAAAAAACAAAATGTATTTTCCAAAACAAAAAAGACAATGAGAAGACTAGGTTTATTTTACATTTTTGCAAGTGTCTTTAATGTCTGGCTTATTTGGAGACAGCTGGATTTTTATATATCCATTAATCTGTTCTCACAAGTTGCATGATATTTGGAAAGCTTATGAGAGAATGAGAGTGATAAAGGCAAATGGCATCTTTGGCATCTTAATATTATATGAAAATAATTTTGATCTTGTGGATCCTCTGAAAGAGTTTTAGGCATTCTCATGGTCCCCAGACTACACTGAGAACTGCTGAGCTAGCTGTTAACATCTGCTATATCACTGAGGCCAGAAGTTCTGAGGCCATCATTCTTTTTTTTTTTTTATCCTCACCCGAGGACACCTTTCCATTTTTTGTTCAGATAGAGTGGGAGGGAGAGAGAGGAAGAGAGAGAGAGAAACATTGATGTGAAAGGGACACATCGAGTGGTTGCCACCTGCACGACCAACCAGGGCCGGCGACAAACTGCAACTGAGGTACACGCCCTGAGCGAGAACCAAACCCGGGTCTCTCTGGACCGCAGGCCGATGCTCTAACCACTGAGCCAAACTGGCCAGGGCCATCATTCTTTTTTTTTTTTTACCTCACCCAAGGACATTTTTGCATGTATCTTCAGATAGAGTGGGAGAGAGGGAGGAAGAGAGAGAGAGAAACATTGATGTGAGAGAGACTCATCCACTGGTTGCCACCCGCACGACCCCAACTGGGGCTAGGAACGAACTGCAACCGAGGTACATGCCCGTATTGGGAACTGAACCTGGGACTCTCTGGTCCGCGGGCCAATGCTCCATCCACTGGGCCAAACCGGCCAGGGCTGAGGCCGTCATACTTGGACAGTGAATGAGTTGGAGATCCAGAGATAAATATGGCTGTGAGGTAGGGGAGAAAATAAGGGAACACATTATTGGGAATTTAAAAGATGGATGTGGCTGGTCAAGTGCTGTATGGGATAAGGGGGGATATTAGGAAAGGTTTTTAGAGGAGGAAACATTTGAATTAGGCGTGAGAAGATGGATAAGATTTAGACCAGAAGAGATGGGGAATCTTATCCCAGGAGGTAAATATTAGCAAGGATGAGTTTGGGGAAGTAATTAGAGTATTTGACAGGAAGTTGGGATTGCAGAACCAGGTTAAGATCAATTCCTAGAAGAGTTTGAATCCAAGCTAGGGAGCTTGGATTTAATGAGATTGTGAAGGAGAGTCACTGAGATTTTTTCGAGTGACTCATTTATATGGCTAGTTTAATGTATTATGTAGGAGGAATTAGTGAAGGAAAACAGGAGATTTTCAACAGCACAGGTTAGAGGCAATAAAATTCAACTTCACCTTTTTTTTTTGTATATGACCCTAGTGGGAACCGAACCTGGGACTCTCTGGTCTGCAGGCCGACGCTCCAGCTGCTGAACCAAACCGGCCAGGGCTCAACTTTACCTTTTATGGAACACACTTTTCTTAGCTTCACCAGTTGAAGGGGTGATATAGTCAGTTGTACCCATGTTCTTGTTTTATCTTGTGTGCACACTCCTATTTTGACCCAACTTTTGCTATCTTGAGCACTTTGCACAGCTACTTCTCAGTTCCATGTATAGGGAGGTAAATTGAGTGTGAAGATTTATGTCTGTCTTGAATGGAAAGCTGCATTTTCTCTACCTACCTCTGTAAAGTTCATGAAGGGTCCCCCTGTATCACTCTGCTGGGCCATTGCAGTAGAAAGAGCTTTGGCACCCAGCCAATGTGGCTCAGTGGTTGAGTGTAACCCATGCACCAAGAGGTCGCCGGTTTGATTCCCGGTCAGGGCACATGCCCAGGTTGTGGGCCTAATCCCCGGTGCAGGGTGTGCAGGAGGCCGCCAGTCGATGTTCTTTCTCATCGATGTTTCTGTCTCTCTCTCCCTCTCCCTTTCTCTCTCTAAAAAATCAATAAAGAAAAAAAGAAAGCTCTGGCTTTTGATAAGATCTGGTTGGAGACTTTGATTTGAGTCCTTGGGAAAGTCTCTGAGCCTCAGTTTTCTTATTTCCAAAATGGCTATAATGATACCTGTTTCTGCTTGCTTTGCTAAGTTGTTAGGCTTAAGTAAGCAAGTAGATAAAAGAGTTATTTGTGAACAGTAAAGTACTATGTAAATACAGGGTATTACTTAGATCATGTATAATTCTCTGTATGAACACATGGATTCCTGTGTGTGAATAATATCCTTTTCCATACTCCCTTGAGGGAATATGATCTTACCATAAATTAGATGATCCCTTCAGTTATGTATTGTATACATAATTTCAATTGTTTGGGTTCAGAATGGCTGAGACTTGGTTACTATTGAATATTTTTCTTCATATACTCCAAGTTGGTGCGCAAGAAGCATGTGCTGTCCTGCTTCCGAGATGTCCTCGTGAGGCATGCTTCCCTGGTTGTGCAGCTGGTGGCTCAGGATCAGAGAGTCTGTATCCACTTCATAAGCATGCTTTTTGGTGAGATTAAAAGGGAAACTTGGCATGAATTTTGTACGTATAGCATACATATTTGTTTTGGGGGTCTTGGAGAAATGGTCTTGGAAAGATAATTTAGACTTTTTGTGATGTAAATTTAACTTAGTAGCAAATTGTTTTATCATAATGATGAAGAAATGGTCACTTTTCTAAGATACATTATACGTTATATGCTAATTACAGCTAAGAGGTTAGTTAAAGTGTGAAGATGAATATGGAAAATGTGTGACCTTTAAAAAAATCTAGTCTTGTGTGATCTTTGCACAGGATCAGAAGATCCAGACTGGAGTCTGCTGACCTGGCTGTGACCCTGATTGAATTATTTCCCCTTTCTTGTGCTTTAGTTTCTTCATGTGTAAAATGAGATGTATTATGATGTTCCTCCCATTTTTTTCTTTTTGTTAATCTTCACCTGAGGATATATTTTCATTGAATTTTTTTTAGATAGAGTGAAAGGGAGGGAAAGAGAGAAACATCGATGTGAGAAACATACATCAGTTGGCTGCCTCCCGCATGATCCTGTTCTTTGGAATGAGCCGTTTTAGGGAGGATGAGAGCTGACTCATACTGAGTACTTTCTCTGCTAGAGGCTTTTCATGCTTTTAACTGCCAAGACAGTACTTTAAGGCAGAGAGGATGATCCCTAAGGCTCAGGAAGGTCATAACTAACAACTGGCAGAACTGGAATTTTGCCCCAGGTCTGTTATAGACTCCAGACCACACAATTGTTATGCTGTTCCACACAGACTCTTTTAATCCTTTTAAAGCCAGAGTGGGTCATTAAAAGTCTAGGTGTTTGGTGCTGAGGATAACTGGGACATCGCTTAAAGCTGATACTAGACTTAGACTTCACAGTGTGTTTTTGTTTTTCTTTTAACTATTAACTATCCCACTCCTGCCTCTCTCTCCTCCAAGGACTGTTATGCAGTGTGGAAGATGGGAATATGGCAGACCTCTGTATTGAAGGTAAGGTGAAATAGTGTGTACTTAGCATTTGAAGCTGGGGATATCAGCCTGAATTGCAGGTTATTTGAGACCTTGATGAAATGTTTCGTTTTCTTTCCTTGGTGTATGGGTCAATGCTCAACCAGTGAGCCACACCAGCTGGGAAGAAATGTTCATTTTAGATAGAGATAAAGAAAACTCAATTAGTTGGCAATCATTAATTCTGCATTTCTTTTTTGAGTACCTACTCTGTGCCAAGTACTGTATCAGACTAGGGATACTAGGTGGATAAGACATGGTCCTGCCTTCTAAGAATTTATAGTGTGGAGGAGAGATTGGCTGGCAAATAACGAGAGCTGATGAGTGCTGTTACAAAGATGTACAAAACTGTTTTTATTACATTCATATTGGTTGGTTGGAAGTTTTCTGCACATAGATGGTGCTTAGCCGTGGAACTGCATGGGTATACCTATAAAAAGCTCAAGGAGAAGACAAGAGCATTGGGATGGGAGAATTCTTGCAGAAAGAGCCAGAACTGTATTAGTTAGGGTCTAGACAAGAAACAAACCACACAAGTTATTTGAACAGAAAAAAACTTTAAAGAATTATTAACTAGGAAACTGAAGACACGAAGAGAACACCAAGTTTTCACAGAGGTAGCAGCTCCAGAAAGCAGCTCCCACTCCTAGGGCTGGGGAAACAAAAGGAGATGTTGGAATTATTAAAACCACAAGTTTGGAGGAAGAACCTCATATATGAAACTCAGACCTCTGAGGAGAGGATGCCACTTGGCTGCTGCTAGGCCCATGACCATCCAACCACACAGCAGCTGTAACTACTAGCAACTGTAACAAACAGATCCTAAGTTAACATGATCTGTATGTACTTCTGACCATCTCTCAATCTAGAGGACATGGACAAACAAATGTATCACTTGAAGTTCTGACCACTGGTGTGTGGGGGGGTGATTTTACTATTTTCCTCAAGGCCACTCTTGAGTGGGGCTATAATCCTAAAGCCATTCACTTCTGGTTGGTGCCAGCATAGTTTTCAGAACCCTCATCAGACCCCAAGAACTTCGCTGAAGTGGTGGGTCCTAGATGGAGACTGCAAAACTAGAGAGAGGAGAAGGACTTGCTCCTTCCTCACTGTTTCCTGTTTGCTCCTGCTTTCTTCCCGTTTTTGTGTTATCCTAGAATGTTTCTTTACTCTGGAAGTGGCAGAGCCTTCCCACTGCAGCAGCTGAATTTCATTGCAGCTCTTTCCACACGTGTAGAGCCAGCCTTTTCTCTACTCCCAAACACCAGCAGAAGCATCACAAATGATTGTATAGAAGGGTGGGTTTGGGGTTGTGATGTAATATTGTTGGCAATTATTGGCAAAGGAACTCTCTCATAATTCTATTTTCTAGTATGTGAAGGAGCAAATATTGAGGAAGGAAAAAAGTAGAGATAATGTAAAATAATAGTTTTCAACCTCAGTTTCACAATAGACTTACCTGGAGAACTTTAAGAATATCCAGATGAGTGCTCGCTTTGGCAGCACATATACTAAGACTGGAATGATACAAAGAAGATTAGCATGACCCTTGCGCAAGGATGACATGCAAATTCGTGAAGCATTCCATATGTTTAAAAAAGAAAAAAAAAAAATCCAGATGCTTAGTTTCTTTCTCTAGAAGTCTGATTTAAATTGGTCTTTGGCATTAGTATTTTTTATTTTATTTTTTGTTAATCCTCACCAGAGGATATTTTCCCATTGATTGTTTATTATTTTTATTTTTGTCAGTCCTCACCTGAGGATATTTTTCCATTGATTTGTAGATAGAGTGGAAGAGAGGGAAGGGGAGAGAGAGAGAGAGAGAGAGAGAGAGAAAGAAACAATGTGAAAGAGACATCGATTGGCTCCTTCCTGTATGACCCCATCTGGGGCCAGGGATCGAACCTGCAACCCAGGTATGTGCCCTTGACTGGGAATCAAACCTGCAGCTCTAAGGTCCTCGGGCCAACATTCTAACCACTGAGCAAGACCAGCCAGTGCAGGCATTAGTATTTTTTAAAAGCTTCCAAAGTGATTCTAATATGCAGCCTAGTTGTGAACCACTGACATAAAACAATGAAGAAGCCAGAAATACTTTGGCTTGGATGTGCACAAATGGTTTAATGGGGGAGACAGAAAATACTCATACCAAATAGCACAAGTAAATGACTTTTAGTAGAAGGGCTATAAAAGGTAAACTCTGGGTTGTCTTCTGATTAGTAATGCTATTGTGTTTACTCAGTCCTTATCCAGTTTACAACTCAGCTGAAATTAGAGCAGACCATTCATTGCCTGCTGGACGAGTGCCACAAAGAGGTCAGTAAATAGTTGTGAGTTGTTTTTTTTTATCCTCACCCTGTTGTAACCCAGGAGATCGACCACACTCAGACTCCATTTTTCAGTTTTTGGGGATGTTTTATTACCTGCGCAGGGACTGCAGCCAACCTACACAGAGGAGAACTGCAGCCCCGAGCTCAGGGGGAGGGTTGCTTATATAGGGCAGGGGTCATTCAAGAGTTTAGCAGAGCAAGCAAGCTGCTTGTACAGAAGCGGAGGCAGTTAGCGATAAGCAGGAGGGAACGGAGGGGGGAGGGAGCTGAGGCGAAAGGGAACTGGGTGAACTGGGTCAGCATACATCTATCCTGCTATTCATTCCATTATCCAAGTTTTAAAAACTAACAAATTCGAGACAGATATCAGCGGTCAGTCAGGTGCAATACACACATGTTGAACAGTTACAGTTTTATGGGGTAAAGGGAGCTTCAGTTTCTCCCTATCAGTTTCTTTACAGAGCATGCAGGACACTCTGGCCTTGGGGCCGTTTGTGTCCTCCCTTTTCTTGAAGGATGTTGCTTTTCAAATTCCCAGTGAAGGTCAAACTCTAGTTAATTTTTATGGGGCTAAAGCCCTCTATAACATTTCCCATTGTTCATCTTGCTGTCTCTGAGGTTGTTAATTAGGGCAGCTTAAAGACAAGTTGGATTCTAAGGACAGTGAGCTACAACAACCCGAGGACATTTTTTCCCCTATTTTTTGTTCAGATAGAGTGGGAGGGAGAGAGAAGAGAAGAAGAGAGAGAAACATCAACGTGAAAGGGACACATCGAGTGGCTGCCACCTGCAAGACCAACCAGGGCCCGGGGACAAACTGCAACCGAGATATGTGCCCATAGCGGGAACCGAACCTGGGTCTCTCTGGACTGCAGGCCGATGCTCTAACCGCTGAGCCAAACTGGCCAGGGCTAGTTGTGAGTTCTTGAGTACCCCTCTGAATCCTCAGATATCAGAGTTGAGCCAACCCTTCTTTGGATAGATGGGAGATTAAAATCCAGAAAGGAAAAGGGACTTGCCTGAGGTCATTGAGTCCGTGGCAGAGCCAGAACTAGGGCCCGAGTCTTCTGATCCTGCTCCAGTACTCTTTGCAGCTTCCTTTCAATCACCTCCATGTGGTGAAGCCCTATCTTTCTGGCATAGTCATCCCATTGCCATTCTTTATGTCCTTCTAAATACAATACAGATTTCCTTGATGAATTTATCAAGGAAATATGTTCACTGTGTCTTGGCTTACTTAGTATTTTTATTTGGTTTGAATTGTATACAGTGTTTTGTACTGAAGGCATGTACTTTTATCAGCATCTAAGGCAGCAGTTCTCAACCTGTGGGTCGCGACCTCTTTGGGGGTCGAACGACCCTTTCACAGGGGTCGCCTAAGACAGTAGCAAAATTACAGTTATGAAGTAGCAACAAAAATAATTTTATGGTTGGGGGTCACCACAACATGAGGAACTGTATTAAATGGTTACGGCATTAGGAAGGTTGAGAACCACTGATAAGCACTGAGTGGGTATGTTTAACCTGCTTGTTACAGTGTAGTGAATAATACAAATTAAACAAGCAGCTTTTTAAAATTTGTTTAAAATTTTGGAAGGATCAGAATCAGTTTTTTTCTTTTGCAAAGGAAGACAGATGTTTATCTTAATACCATCAAGAGCAACATTTAATTATAAATTATATTAAATTATCATGTCATTATAATTAATCTGCATGTAATTAATATATCAGATTGGATTTATAAGTATATATACCAATATTTATGATGATAATATCACTTAACACTATGAGCACTTTCTATATGCTAGATACCGTTTTAGGTGCTTTTCATGCAATATGTCATTCAGTCCTCCTACCAACTCTGTAAAGTTGGTACTATTATTATTTCTCACAAATGGAGTTAAGAGTCTTTCTTAAGGTGCTACAGTTAGTCAATAGAAGGGGTGAAATATGTACTGTTGACTCTCTCTGTAAAGTGCCAACCATATAAGTGTTCCATAATGGTAGTTCTAGTAATGATAATAACAATAATTTTTTTTTGCACTGAGCCAGAATTCTGCCTTTATGACATTGCCAACTGAGAGGACTCTCCTGGAACTTCCCAGTCCAATAAGACAGACAGGCGCTTAGCCAAAGAGGCCAATTATGTACAATATGGGCTTTAGTGTGGATAGGGTTAGATAAATTGTGGTGGGAGCTTTGTCCTGACCCTAATTTATAGAGTGGAGTATGTTCACTTTTTGTAGCTCTGTAACATGCCCTCCATGCGAGGCAGCCTGGCCACTCTGACCCTTCTCGGCAAGTTGGTGGATGCCATCCCTGCTTTGGCAGACAAGCTTGTAATGGAGCACCGTGAGTGACTTCTGAGGAAGAGCTTCCACTCCCCTTTCACCTGCTTTTATTACACTTCCATCTGGAGGGTCCATTCACTGTATACACCTTCATTACTTTTCTTCTTTAGGCTTTGGTTTCCTATTTGTAAAATGTGTCTATGTTGACTAATTTGAAAAAGTGCTTCTAGACTCTGGTCTTGGGCTATTTCTATTCACAAGTTCCTTTTGGGTGGAAGGAGGAATTAATTCTGGAATATAGAAGCACTCTTTTCTGTCAGTAAAATCCAAATAAATATCTCATAAATTTACTCACGGGTAAATCACTTAACTGCTCTAAGCCTTAGTTTTCCCATTTGATTAAGTACCCAGAAATCATTTTTTTGTGAGAGATTACTGGGGATTACCATTACTACCCCACTGAGGACAATATTTATAGTTTCATAAAGCAGTTGACATTGTGCGGTTCCCTGGCCCCTTGGTTGTTTTCTGGACAGGTGACTTGATGGAGCATCTGTTGAGAGGTTTAGTGTATCCCAGTGAGGGTGTGCAAGCTTCTGTCTGTTACCTCTACGGGAAGTTGTACTCCTCCCCAGTGGCAGCTGAGATGCTTTCAGGCCATTTCCGGGAGAAGCTGTGCCCTATCTTCCTTTCCACGCTGGATGGTGCCCAGACAAAGGAGCTACAGATCAATTGCTTGGGTAAAACATGAGATCGCAGAAAAAACAGAGAAAGTGTTAGGTTTTGCTTGAGGTCTTGAGATATTGGCTCTCTAGTGGTGGGGAAGTTTGCTGCTTTGCAAAGCCATGGGTTTGGGAAATAAGATGCACAGACTGTGAAAGATGCAAAGAGTTGGTGTGGCATCTTAAGAATGTTAATTTTGGAAGAAGAGGAAAGAAAGTGGGACAGCAATTTTCTGCCTCCAACCTTTACTGCCTATCCTGGTGCATCCTGTACTTGCTGCCAAGTTAATCTTCACACTATACAGCTTGCATCCTGTCAGTTTCCTACTTGGAAATTTACCTGTGGCTTCCTCTAGCCTCTAGGGTGATGTCCAGGTTTCTTTGAATGTTTTTTGAGGCTCCTTTGGCAAGAGCTACAGGGAAAAGCATAGTCTGTGGGTGACAACAGTTTCTTTTCACAGTTTGGGCCAAGAGCTGTGTTATGAACAGTTCAGCCACACACAGTGAGCATTCATTCTGCACCAGGCTCTGCTGGGCTCTGGGGTCATAAAAATGATCAAACCCAAGCTCTATTCTGAGGGGGCTCATAGTCCAGATGTGGACAATTAGAGTCCAGTGTGGTAAGTGCTATTATAGAGGTTGCACAGAAAAGGGTGGGATTCTATTTAAAGTAGTACTATAATTCTTATATATGGAAAACCCTAAAACCACTAAAAAACTTAAACTAGTAAATAAATTCAGTAAAGTTGCAGGAAGCACAAAATCAGTTGTGCTTACATATACTAGCAGTGAATTATATGAAAAATAAGAAAATCCCATTTAAAGTAGCATTAAAAAGAATAAAATACTTAGGAATATGTTCAGAGACATAAAGAAGTTTCTAAGGGATGTCTGAGGTGCTACCTTAGGTGTATTCTGGTGCCTGTGCTCCTCTTGTCTGACTTCCCAACCCCTTTGTTTTCCAGGTTTGCTGAGGCAGCTGCTGAAGTATGATCTCTTTGTGTCCATGATCATGAACAAGTCAGCACTGGCGGAAAGTATGGACAGTGTTGAGGGACCACCAAGAGAGACCTCACTGCCTTTGGTGCTCAAAAAGGTCCTTGTCTTATGATTCCCTGTCTTTAAATTTAGTAACAAGGGAACCCGAATGCCTCCTGTACCTTGTCCTCATCCACCACTCCTGTCTAGGATTTACAAAGTATTTTTTTAGTAGCCAAACAACATGCTGTTAGAAGACTCAAAGTACATTTTATTTCCATTGTGAATCCTTATATAGCATCTTCTCCTTCACAGCAGGGCTGCCTGAGAATGAAGAATACATGCCACAACAGAAACAAAACTATCTCAGTTATTTTAGGGATAAAACTCAAGCTTCTCAGCATGGTACCTAGAGCCCTCTTTCTCTGGCCCCTATTTATTTTTTCGGCCTTACTTACCTGTTTCTTCCACTCCACAACGCAGTGCTCCAGCCATATGCAACTTCTCCCTGGTCCTGTATAAACTAGGACATCCTGTCTAGCTGTGCAGATGCTCTTCCCCTTTGCCTTTAAAGCCTTTTTCCCTAACACCTTTCTCCCTCCTTTTGTCTGTTGATCTCTGATTCAGCCTTCAAGCTATCACCCTTGCTTCTTTTTTTTCTTTCCATTTTTTGTTCGGATAGAGTGGGAGGGAAAGAGAGGGAGAGAGGGAGAGAGAGAGAGAGAGAGAGAAATATTGACGTGAAAGGGACACATCAAGTGGCTGCCTCCCGCATCACCCAACCAGAGCTGGGGACAAACCGCAACCAAGGTACGTGCCCTTAGCCGGAACCTAACCCGGTCTCTCTGGACCGCAGGTCGATGCTCTAATTGCTGAGCCAAACTGGCCAGGGCCACCCTGGCTTCTTTAGGTAGAATGTGCCCCTCTTGTCATAGCGCTGATCTCACCAATTGTGGTTGATCAACTGGGATTTTCTTTAGGGTGGGACCTGAGTTTGGCTGTCTCTCTCTGAAGTGCTCAGTACAGGGCTTGGCAGAGCTACAATCCTCATCTGCTGGCAGGGGTATCATTGACTGACCAGATTGTGGGACTCCTGCAGGAAAGAGGAGGAGCCCTGGTCAGAAGTGGTAACATCTGGTTAGAACATTTGATCCTGGGCTCAGCAGGGGCACAAGGTCTTCTGTACTCAGTGCACCAAGGTAGCATGATGGTGGTAGGGACAGAAATTAGCGAGTGCTCCCTACTGAGGAAAGAACTTTGTAGAGACAGGGCTTTTGGTTTAGAGGTCCCAGCCTCCATCTGTATGTGGAAATTCTTCCATTGGCAATTTTGAATGATCATCATTTTATTTTACTACAGCAGCCAGCAAGGTTGGGACTAGGGTGAGGTGAGTGAGACATTTGCCTTAGGTATAAAATTTAAAGGAGTAATAAAAAAAACTCAGCAATCAAGATAAATATTTTTTTTTGTTAATCCTCACCCAAGGATATTTTTCCATTAAGATAAATAATATTTTAAAAGATTAAAGTTAATGCAAAATTTATGATGTACAAAATATAAAAAATTTAAGATAAGATAGGCATATATCCTTATACAACCCCATTCTGGAATTTTTGTCAAAGTCTAATGTTAGCTAGTCCTTCCTGCTTTTGGCTGTTAATCAACTTATTCTCCCAAAATTTAGTTTCCTGGGAATATTTTCTCAATGTTAGTGTTCCTACTGTTGCAACGTTGATTCATTCACTTAGTCACATAACACACTGAGCACTAATGTGATGTGTCAGTCACTATGTAAGGCACTGGGAATGCCATGGTATGTAAATAACTGAGTTTCTTGCCCATTCACAATTTAGTGGGAAAGACATAATAAATAAGAAAATGAACAAGAAAAGTAATTGTGGATTGTGATAAGTGCTATAAAGGAAATCAAGAGGGATGAAATAGTAGCAGAGAATGCCATCTACAGGTTGAGTGGTCAGTCAGGGCCTCTCAGAAGGGTTGACATTTGAACTATCTTGAAGAATTAAAGTATTCCAGTGATCAATTATACTTTAATAGACCTGAAAATAAATAAAAAAATAAGTGAATGATAAGAAAAGTGGGCAGAAAAGCATTTTAGGTATAATAAAGCCAGAGTCAAGTAAAAGCCAGAGGAAGGGAAATGCTTGATATGTTCGAGAAGCAGATGGAGGCCAGTGGGATGGGATGGGTGGGAGGTGATGTGAAGTGGCTCAAGATGAGGCTAGATAGAGATCAAGCAGGAAAAGTCATGCAAGTCTTGAAATAATTAGGATTTTTAAAAATTTATTTTATTTTTGTTACAGATGTTTCTCCTTTTATACCCCATTGACACCCTCCTCCCCATCACGCCCCCCACCCCGTCCCCGGCTTTGTTGTCCATGTCCATTGGTTATGCGTACATGCATATATAAGTTCTGTGGTTTATCTCTTCCCTCCCTCCACCACCCCCTCTTCTGAGGGTTGTCAGTCTGTACCCTACTTCCACGTCTCTGGGTCTACCCTATTCCTCAGACTGTTATGATCATTATATTCCATAAATAAGTGAGATCGTGTGGTATTTGTCTTTTTCGGCTTGACTTGTTTCGCTTAGGATAATACTTTTCAGGTCCCTCCATGTTGTCTCAAAGGATAAGAGATCTTTCTTACAGCTGCATAGTACTCCATTGTGTATATGTACCACCGCTTTTTTATCCATTCGTCTACTGATGGACACTTGGGCTGTTTCCAGATCTTAGCGATTGTAAATAGTGCTGCTATGAACATGGGGGTACATATATTCTTTCTGATTGGTGTTTCAGGCTTCTTAGGGTATATTCCTAGAAGTGGGATCTCTGGGTCAAATAGCAATTCAATTTTTAATTTTTTGAGGTAACATCATAGTGTTTTCCAGAGTGGCTACACCAGTCTGCATTCCCACCAGCAGTGTACTGGAGTCTCCTTTTCTCCACACCCTCACCAACACCTGTTGTTTGATGATTTGTAGATGGTGGCCATTCTGACAGGTGTGAAGTGATACCTCGTTGTTTTAATTTGCATCTCTCTAATGATTAGTGATGTTGAACATTTCTTCATATGTCTCTTAGCCATCTGTATGTCCTGTTGGAAGAGGTGTCTATTTAGCTCCTCTGCCCATTTTTTAATTGGGTTCTTTGTCTTCCTTTTGTTGAGTTGTATGAGTACTTTATATATTTTGGAAATTAACCCCTTATTTGATGTATCATTGGCAATGATATTCTCCCATACAGTAGGTTGCCTTTCCATTTTGATAGTTGTTTCTTTTGCTGTGCAGAAGCTTTTTAGTTTGATGTAGTCCCACGTGTTCATTTTTTCCTTTGTTTCTGTTGCCTTAGGTGATGTATCAGTGAACATTCTGCTGCGTATGATGTCTGAAATTTTGTTGCCTACATTTTCTTCTAGGATTTTTAAGGATTCATGGGTCACATTTAAGTCTTTTATTATTATTTTTTTTTTGAGTTTATTTTTGTGTATGGTGTAAGTTGATGGTCTAGTTTCATTTTTTTGCATGTAGCTGTCCAATTTTCCTAACACCATTTATTAAAGAGGCTATCTTTACCTCATTGTATACTCTTGCCTCTTTTGTCAAATATTAATTGAGCATAATGTCTTGGGTCCATTTCTGGGTTCTCTGTTCTGTTCCACTGGTCTATATGCCTGTTCTTGTGCTAGTACCAAGCTGTTTTGATTACAGTCACTTTGTAGTATAACCTGATATCTGGTATTGTGATCCCACCTACTTTGTCCTTCTTTTTCAAGATTGCTGTGGCTATTCAGGGTTTTTTTTGGTTCTATATGAACTTTTGAAGTATTTGTTCTAGTTCTGTGAAATATGTCGTTGATATTTTGATGGGGATTGCATTGAATGTATAGATTGCTTTGGGTAATATGGACATTTTAATGATGTTAATTTTTCCAATCCATGAACAGGGTATGTGCTTCCACTTTTTTATATCTTCCTGTATTTCTTTTTTCAATGTCCTGTAGTTTTCTGAAAATAGATCCTTTACTTCTTTGGTTAAGTTTATTCCTAGGTATCTTAATTTTTTTGCCGCGATGGTAAATGGGATTGTTTTTTCAGTTTCTCTTTCTGTGAGTTCATCATTGGTGTATAAGAATGCTGTCAATTTTTTGACGTTAATTTTGTATCCTGCTACTTTGCCAAATTTATTTATTTATTTATTTATTTATCCTCACCCGAGGATATTTTTTCCATTTTTTGTACAGATAGAGTGGGAGGGAGAGAGAGGAAGGGAGAGAGAGTGAGAAACATCGACGTGAAGGGACACATCGAGTGGCTGCCACCCGCACGACCAACCAGGGCCGGGGACAAACTGCAACCGAAGTACGTGCCCTTAGCGGGAACCGAACCCGGGTCTCTCCGGACCGCAGGCCGATGCTCTAACCGCTGAGCCAAACTGGCCAGGGCCATTTATTTATTTATTTATTTATTTATTTATTTATTTATTTATTTTTATTCTCACCCGAGGACATTTTTCAATATTTTGTGCAGATAGAGTGGGAGGGAGAGAGAGAGAGAGAAACATTGACGTGAAAGGGACACATCGAGTGGTTGCCACCCGCACGACCCACCGCATGACCCAACCAGGGCCGGGGACAAACTTTAACCGAGGTACATGCCTTTAGCGGGAACCAAACCCGGGTCTCTCTGGACCGCAGGCCAATGTTCTAACCACTGAGCAACCGGCCAGGGCCCAAATTCATTTATTAAGTTTAGTAGATTTTAGATGAAGTCTTTTTTTTTTTTTTTTATCCTCACCCGAGGACATTTTTCCAATTTTTGTACAGATAGAGTGGGAGGGAGAGAGAGGAAGACAGAGAGAGAGAGAGAAACATCGACGTGAAAGGGACACATTGAGTGGCTGCCACCCGCACGACCAACCAGGGCTGGGGACAAACTGCAACTGAAGTACGTGCCCTTAGCGGGAACCGAACCCAGGTCTCTCTGGACCGCAGGCTGACGCTCTAACCGCTGAGCCAAACCGGCCAGGGATAGATGAAGTGTTTAGGGTTTTCTATGTATAATATGTCATCTGCAAATAATAACAGTTTCTCTTCCTC